TCAGTCCTAAGCAAATGGGAGAAATTATTCAAAAGTGTGTCATGAAGTTTTTTTGTTTAATACAAATTCATGAATGTCTAATTTTATATAAAATGATCACTTTTCTCCTTTCATCAAAACCAACTGTTATCTGGGTGAACTTTGTAATTTTCTGGAGTTGCAATTGAGTGTCAGATTTGTTTCTCACTAGCCCAATATATGATGAGGATTATGTAAATAACTTGAATGACAAGACATAACAGAGGTATGCAGATATTATACACAAATACCTTGCAGATACTCCTGTCTCGACAATGGGTATGTTTACATAATCCTGACAATATGTTTAGGCTACTTTGAAGAATGCAATACATTCTTCAAATTTAATGAATTTAATGAATTAATTAACTTTAATAGCAAATCAAAGATGCAGATTTGTGAAAGTTTGAATTAAATCAGACAAACGATAACAAAGTTATGAATATTTTGAAAGTTGGTATCCCTCTATATTAGGGAACTTCAAAATGACCTGACTGGTATTATGCACTGTGATGTACTGCCAGTCAACTCTTCCGTTTGTTCCAGAAATGTACATTTCATCAGACAACAAACGGGAGAGTAAACCGTTAATAAGTCATGGTCCACTATTAAACCAAATTGCTAATTTGATATTTGCATGGACTTTGTGATCTCATACTCCAAACATTCATTACTTCATTATCTGTCTAATTTATTTCAAATTTTCAACATCTTATTTTCAAAGGCTGAAGTTCACTTTAATGAAATTACCATTTGACACCAAATTGCACCTCAAGATAATATGTACATTTGAACTGAATTGAACTATGCTACCATGTACTTGGAAGGTAAATGCATTTTCTTTACATCCAGATCATTTTTTGTTTGGGGGGGGGGGGGGCAGGCAATATTTTATCCGAGGGCACTTTTTTTTTTTTCTTCATAAGAGCCTACTACCTCATTACCGATGGAAATGATCAGTTTTATATATTTGTGATGCACACCTACATACCTCCTCCTTCTGACAGCATTAGTCCATGGGCGGAAAAAAATGACCCCAGATTTTTAGGGGCCTCTGAGAACCCAAGCCCAACAGAAAGTTGTCAGTTTTGTAATATTCAATCATACTACTTCCTACTGACAAAGTTTAGTGCATGGGGTAGATAGGAGGAAATCAACCCAACTTTTGGGTCTGTCTTGGGGGGCTCTGGGGACTTACCGATAGCCTGCCAGCTACGATCAGGTCGACAACCTTTTTGTCGACGACTTAGATGGTCTAAGTAACTTCATGGGGTAAAATCTTTTGGGGTTGATGGGGTTACATCTTTCAGAACAGGCTCCCGATATAAGAGGACAAACATAATAAGATGACAACATTACTGTTGATTAGGACAGAGTTTTGACAGGAATACATCTTTCTTTGCTTGACCTACAGTGTACCAATCACAAACAAATAATTTGTATGTAGGGTTCTGTGTCCCCATACTGTTTTCAAAATAAAAACCTCAAAAGCAACATTGCAAGTTGGAATACACTAACATTTACTAAAATGGGTGACTTGTGAATAGCACCTGTACGTGTTCCAATAGAATACGGCCGGAAGGGAATTCAATTCCGACTTGGATTCTGTACATGCTGTTTATGTTATTCTTTATTTTCTTCACACTTCTTATCTGGAGTGACGTAGAATGCTAGGTTTTTAAAAAAAAAACATTTTAGCTGCTGCATACAAATTATTTTTCTAAGTGATTGGTAAACTTTACATTTGATTTAGAAAGTGGACTTAAATTTAATTCCCTATGAATGACAATCATTTCTATAAGAACAAGGAGTTGATCAAGTAAACAATATTACAATACATCCATAAATGGTTGTGAGCAATGAGGTAGAAAAATTGTAAACAATATAACCACATAAAAATAATGCTGCAATAGTGTGTAGGATATAAAACAATACTGTAAAAAATATTCCAACAAAATCTGTAGCTCACAAGTACATGTACGCATATCGAGCCGAGTCTGCGTACAGTATTTGTGTGTAAGCACTTGCTCTTAAACTGAAAGGGAAAACGACAATGGGAATTATCGGGTGTTTGAAGGATAACAGAAGTTGTTCAAGTGGGCACATCTTCTGTTTATACGAAAAAACATCGGTTTGGGGGAACACCCTCCTCATTTTGAAAAAGAAAAGATTGATGCACCTAACAGATCAAGTGAAAATTGCTGTCTCACTTGAATTTAGTTTGCCCATCAACAAATTATTTGAAGAAATTAATATCTCTCTTTTATGGACATCGAGTTGCAGAGCTGTACATTCTAAAAAAACAGTTTAACTCTCTGACACCCGAAAGGCACAGAACTGCCTGATAAATCCAATATGATCTCCTCACTTGAGAGCCACAGGGTTAATATCCTTCTGGCTCTTAACAGACAACTTTATCTACCAGTATACATAATCTAAGAATTTCATTGTGGAAATTGTATTTCAATATCGGCTTTCAAATTATGTAATATTTACATAAAATGAAAATGTCCCTACACAAATGATGGTAAGGGAGCAAATTATTGCGTAGATGCCCCAACTTCTACCTCAAAATATTCGAGATGAGAATTTGCAGTGGGGGCCAATAAATAATCAAATGTCCAAATATAGGCATAACATGTCAAACAAAATAGAGATTTTCTTCTTTGACATTACTGAAGAATACTAGTATAGGAGTAATTATTGACATGATATTTTGAAATTCAGAGGCTACTTCTACCTACCAAAGCATTTCATCCAGTTAGAAATTTCTCGCATTGCATTTGTTCATAGTTACTATTTTTACAAATCAGTATACATATCATGTGCCTGTAGTTATAGTATGTAATAAATGTTTCCATGATTAAACATGTTGTCATAAATATTCTACAAATGTTCTGAATTGTCAATGCTATGTGTTTATAAGTAATTGTCTATAAATATTGTTTTGAACATATCAAATTCTTAAATAATTCCCAAAACATTGGGTATCAAATAATGGGTACCTCATTCAAATATTCCAGTTTTATAGCTTAGCTGAATGTAGAGGCACAAGAAAATGCACCTGGAACGCAAAATTTCATCAAACAGAAGAAGAAGCACAAAGCTAGGGTAAATGCTCGTAAATGTATATACCACCTCAGTGAGACGAAATTTCCAATAAACTTTCATTCAGATATGTCAAAAAAGAACTTCTTTAACAAACCTCACTAACTTATTTCCCTTTTGCGTTCCAGATGCGTCTTTTCTTCCTACTTAATTCTGCTAAGCTAGTTTAGTTGTCACCACATGTAACAAACTTCAAGAAAAACTTCTTTTGGTGCTCCAAGATTCGACATAAATTTCCATAATCATTTACCAAAAAATGTATTGGTAATTTCATCTACAATTAAAATGTCTATTACTGTTTTGATCATGATTACATAAAAATGTTATGCCTTTTGATTGCGTTATTTAAAAATTCATCAAATATTGAATTAATGCTCAATCCATTTCATATCATTTTAAATAGTAGAATAAAAATAATGAAGTTTCAAGTTCATTATAGTTCTGACTAAAATACTTGCATACTCAAAACAGTACTACTACTACTGGAATTCACGCAAAAATCTTTTAAAACAAGAATTAATTTACAGAAATTTCATCGGAACCAAAGTGTGCATAGATGGCGACAATATAATAATAGGGTGGTTAGCCCAATACAATAATAACAAAAAGACTGACTACATATAACTATATGTACATTACTAACGATTAATAAATAAAACTTTGGCATTCAACAGTCACTTCTACTGCTTAGAGCGAGTGACGTACTTCGGATAGAAGAGAGAGAGACAGAGAACATATAAACAAAATCCAGAAACGTAAGTCTGTGGCAATATATACCCGTTATGGTCATGCACATCGACAACATAACAAACAAAAAACACTGTGTGTAAAACAAATGAAATATCATATCAAAATTGCACTAGGATGTCTTAAAAGGCTAAAATATACAAGGTAAAAATAAGATGTCTTTTCGACAACGTCAGCATCTGTTTTAAACTTCATAGTGCCAGACTTGGAGATGGTGTCAGATATTTGATATGTCATTCGCTGAGAACCAAAAGGGCATTGACTCTTTGTAAAAGTGTATGATTTGATCCCCTTTCTGCTTCTGAGAAGATGATATGCTAAGTCTTTGGGGACAAGTTTGGGCTCAATAAGAAATGGAAGATTTTATGGAAGTATTAAAAAGCTTATAGAAGATACGGACATTAATATTTTCAGATAATAACCTATTAAAAATCTTCTAACCATGTATACCATATCATTTCTTAGTATTATCAATTCATAACTTCTATCAATAATGCAATGAAGTTAGATTGCAGAAGAGAATATTTATAAAAGTATTAAGAACTTTGTTGAAAACCTATCACTCAATTTCATACCATCTCTTAGTATCATCAATTCATAACTTCTATGAACAATGTAATTACATATTTAGATTGCTAAAGAAAATATTTATAAAAGTATTCAGTAATTTGTTGAAATTTAAAAACCTTTCTCTCAATGAATGAAGGAATCATCATAGCCTTTTAAAATGGTGAAATCTGTAAAATAAGAATTGCTTTTGATAATTTTCTTGACAACATCTCCAAGGCGACACTATGAAAGTCCTCAACAGGGGCCTCCGCTACTTCTTGAAAGACCATCATCCATCATAACCACTCATTCATTCACTCACTCTATTATTCTATAACTCTCACTTTCAAACACTCATCCTCATATTCAGGGGGCCCCCATCTGCATAAAGGCAAACCAAAATCTTAGTGCCGCTATTGAATAAATAAGGATACTCCCTTTCTTTCATTCAATTTTGTGTTTGATTTGAAATTTGAGTTATGAAAACAAACTTTGATATAGAACACAGAAAGAAAGAGCCCCTATTTTCGGCAATCAACCCCCCCCCCCCCCCCCCCCCCATGCACAAACACCCACATACACACCCAGTCATTCAATATCTCACATACCAACTCAGCCACACCTACTCAAATACAAGTTAGGATATCAAAATAAAACTATTTTTCTGGATATAAAAGACACATTAACAAAGAGCAAGGCATAAGGCTGGATTTACAGCACCAGAATTTGAAACTCTCCCAATCCCTTCTTTCAAGTTGCCAATTTAAGAGGTTACCCAGAATAAGCCAGTAAAATCACTCTCAAAAATTACTTGCTTTATTTCTCATTTTTGGGAAGAAAGTAGCATTGTTACTTATAGCTTTGCTTCAAGGCTTAGTGGGTTGTATCTCTATTGAGGTAAGTCATGTATCAAACATTTGATAATGATTTAATAACAATGAAATTGATCTACGTAGAAAATGTACGGGATCCGAGAAAATTGTCTACATAGACCAATTTCATCACCACCATCATCTTTGATACGTGGCCAGCCATTAACTATTTCTTAGTCTATCCAAACGAGATCGACTGAGATTGAGAAAGGAAGGGTCTACCCCCTCCTAGCCCCAAATTTGCCCCTGGTGCTGTACGCCCGGCCCCTGCCTTGTCCCATCATTGCTATGGGAAGTAACTGTTCAACTGCCGATTCCCCGGTAACGTGTGAGAGCGCCATATCGTGTTGTCGTTGTCGTCCTCCGTAGGGCTGACTCGGTTGAGGATTGAAGGGGGAGGAGGACTCCGCCAGATCTCATCGATGTCTATCCTGTTCTCCTCCTGCACGGCCGCTAGGACACCGTTTGCTCTCTGCCCCCCATCGGTACCATCTGTGAGAAAAAGACAATGATTAAAGACCAATAACGTTGAATATACCAGTATAAAGGCTTGTTCAGATGACACAGTTATTAAAGTGCACACATTTTTAATTTTTTTATTTAAATGAATGGTAATTGTACGCAACAAAGTTGCTATGCAAATTTACTAAATTATGTGTTATAAGATACAGAAATATCAAATATATAACACTTTACGTCACCTTAAAAAAAAAATCCATGTGGTTTTGCCGCGTCATATCTGAAGAAGTAAAATGAAAATCCTGAAAAAAGATAGCCTGTGTCAGCACTTATTTTCACTTAGAGGGTCCTGAGTAATGATAAACCTTTCCATTAACAGTACTCCCCAGGGAGTGAAGATGGTGCAGACTTTATACGGATGTGGATGAATACAATGTCCCAGTAATAACATATCTTTTAAACATTTACAGACATTCGTTTCAAGCACTATGCTCTATAAATCTCGAATCATCACATGCAAGTCTTTTTGTCGAGTTTGGGGTGAAAATTTCATCATTGTTTACATTCAAATCAGGTAGAAATGTAAATAAGAAAGTAACCTTTTGTAAAAAAAATTGCCAATACTAAGAGAGGTCAGCAACGAAATGTATACAAATGAGCCTAGTAAAACGAGATGAGATAACGCTCACCTGGCTCTAAACAGCAGCTGATATGCTCTCACATTCACTCCTTCTTGTGACTTACCTGAACTCTTGAGTTTCTTCTTTAACTTTGCCTTCTTCCTCTTGAGATGGACGACCCATGATATAAGAGCTAAGATGATTCCCACCAGACATCCAATCACAAAGTACTGGATGAAAATGTGTTTCTTCTCTGCAAATTCAAAGAAAAATTGGCAAAGGCATAATTTGAAGAGTCTTTATATCAAGACATGGAGCTGACAAAGTTTATCACAATTAAATTTTAAAAATACTACCCCAGCAACACATCCCTGTACTGTCTAAAAGAAATTAAAGGGATCGTTTAACAATGTTAAATCTGAGATACACAGCCCTACGTGTTATCAGTGTCTGTGATATGGTGTTATATTGAAGCCATAAAAAAATTGCGCTTCAAAATGATCAAGAAGTGCCTCAAAAAAGTAAAAAATCTTTGAGTGACCGGTTTTACCATACTCTTTTTCCCCAATAGACTGTAGTGTTATGCAAACCGTCAGGCGAACGGTTTTCAAAATTTGTAATTCCAATCATAAATATCTTGATAATCAGACAGGCGATAGGCTTGGAAAACTCATGGGGTTCCTGACTGATCTAAAGGTTTATAATCATCACTGCATCATGAGCTAAATCCAGAATTTTGTTTCAGAATCTGAGACAAAGTTACCGGATCCCTTTAAAGTGATCATACATGTATTGACTATTGACACGTCATAATGATCTGTATCAATCCAATTACATGTATCCCTTGAACTATCAGAAAGTTCAGCCCCCCCCCCCCCTCAAACCTGGGGACCACTACCCCACCTCTTACATCTATGTTAGGGTTAATTATCTCATGTCCTCAGGCTTAATACAGGAACCATGTAGATCCCATAAGCACTGGATAAATCGGGTGGGTGTGTGGTGTGGGGGGGGGGGGGGGGAGGGGGAGGAGAGGGTTATCAACTGTGAGGGTAAGTGACCCGAGGGGTGTGGTGATCAAAAGTTCAATTCTCAATCAAAAATATTACAAAATGAAAATACAGATGAACTTTCATGACCCTAGGGTCAGTTTTCAGGGTGAGCTTTCCTGTAGGAGGATCATCAAAGGGACGTTTAAAATGACTTAAGGCCCACTGCACTACTTATAGCTATTTGCGCCCTCTATACAGCAAACAATGCCCAATCGGTGACCATAAGTCCCCCATGATCCCCTTTTTTCTTTTGTTAATTGAGAGCTGATTTGATGAGGTGACCTTGCAGGGAGGTCTAATCCCTCCTGGCCAAACTAGTTCAAACTGGCTTTAAAATATTTCTAATCATTCATTAACAATGTCCCACATTATAATATCCCACTTACCTTTAAGAAACTCTATAAAAAGCACGATACTCCCAACAAAATCGCCTAAGCTGTTTGAATCTGAGCTAGATGACCCTGGTGGTATTAATGCTGTGGAGTTAGGGTAACTGCTGAATGAACTCTCATTGTAGGCATCACCGCTAAACGAAACTGAAGAATCTGAAGAAGAAAACAACAAAAAATACAATATTTGTATGATGTTTTTTATTAGGGCTCTCAGTCTTGACATAACTACTGGACAAGTGAATTCTACAATATACCTTAAAAACTCAGTATGTTACGGTTCAAAAGATATTTCAAGATTAGGACTAAATCCCTTTTATATACCCAATTATGTACCAAATGTGGACTTACACCCTAGGAATTTTTAGAAGCAATTGTATTCTCTAACATATGTACAGGCAGCTCGGTATGAATTTGAAAAAAATGAAGATACTTCTATATTGGGCTCATTAATTTTTATTGGGACAGACACGATATATTTTTTATATTTTGCAACACAAGTATTCATCTTCTGCTATGCTGTGTTCCACATAAGTTTAATTGACCTAGAATATGGAAATGATCCATACATGGTCTATCCCCTAAACTCTCTTAAAAAATTGATTAAAAAACATCAACACCTTCCTAAAATAACTATCTACCTTCCCAATTCCCCCTCCCCTACCCCATAACTTTTTAAATTTTGTCATAAGGAACTTGATATTCAACAGAAGGGGGAGGGGGGGGGGGGGGTTGTAGGACAATATCCTCTATCTCCCCCTCCCTGACCCAACAGCTCCCCCTAGTCGGGGGTAATACTCGGGAGATAAAAATTTTGAAGGATAGTTTTCATAAAGGGGAGGGAGGGGGGGGGGGGTGTCAAATCTGCATTTTCATCAGACAATCAGAAGTAACTGCCATCACACAATTTTTAATCTCTTTAAAATCGGCTGCCTTGGCAAACTGTCAAGATTCTCCGCATTCTTGTGCCCAGACCAAATATTTATTCCACGCTATCATTTGCCGACAGGTTCAATAAACAAAACCGGTTAAGAGCCCCCTCTAGTGTGCCAAGTTCAAGAGATACCCTACACAAATGAAATGCGGCTATCTGGATAGTAATGCAATCACAAATATGTGACATTTTTTATACCAGTACTTCAAAACATGTTTCATGAGTTCATTGAAATGGAGTGGCACTTTAAGATGCCTCCCGAACACTAAAGGCATTAAGTATTGTGATATTTGTGCATTATAAGTTGCAATCTGGATAACAGTTTTGAGATCATTTTGCCTAACCTAGGATGCAGAGGTATTATATTAACCAGCTTCAATTCCTAATCATAGTCTGTTCTACTGCTACCCACTAAAATCATGCAATTTGCGTTCCCAACAGGAATTTTCATGCCATATTTTGCTCAATTCCAGGTATCAATAATAATTGTGGATTAAATTCTTGTGTGTTTACTGCATAAAGACCTTGCCTTGCATATTTCAATGGGTCATGATGAGACAGAGTAACGATGATGAAATGTATGATCTCCTTGACCTCTATGTTTATACGTATAAGAATTTATTGTGATGCAGGATAAATCAAATTAATGTTCCATGATATGGCTACTATGACTCTGTAATTTGACCTAGTTATCAAATTCACTGACAAAATACACTTTACTCCTCTCCTCGACAGGACATTCATCTGTTTAAGGGTCGATTTCCAGTTTCATTTCTAAAAGATGATTTCACAATTTGAGAAAATGCCCTCATCCTACATCTACACAAGATTTGTCTACCACATCATCATCAAACTAAAAGTGAATATATTTCTGTCCTAAAAGATGTACTTTTGTAACATTTGCATTTAAAAGTATATTTTGTAGCTTTATTGTTGTACTTTGTGTAAGATCCCTACCCTTCACAGGGTATATACAGGACATACTGCTGCAGGATTATTTTTTTGGATGCAAATATCTTGGGGAGAAAAAAAGATGAAGCTCCACTGAAAGCAATTGTTAAATAGCGCCATCACATGGCAAGACACTTCTAGTAGAGAATATTCTTCTACAAAAGCCAGTTTTTTGTGTGTATCTCCTAGTGAGCGAGATAAATGAAGTATAAACCACCTGATATAATCATTATTTTCAGGTAGGGGGACAGAAATCATTTTGACATCCTTCAGCTCTGTTCAACCATGGACTTTGTGGTGGGAGTCCATGGTTTAATCATGGTATATATGGCCTAGGGTTCAATTACTGGAACTGATCGATGGAAAAAAATAATGATTAGTCTGTCAGACCATGGACCTAACACAAACTTTGACAATGTATATTGTAGGAACGCATATGCTTCCAATATGTTAATTTAAACCAAATTCATGACCCCATACCAAAACTTTGTAATACCTTTAACAAGATTTTTCAAATAAAGAAGAAGAAAACAGAGGCATTCAGGCATCTATCAAAAACTAATACCATATTTATCATTCTATACATTGGAGCATTGTGAGCAGCAGATGGCAGTATACCTTAATCTGAAGCAGAGCCATCTATATACAGAGTGTGGCCAACTTGTTTTTAATGGGTCACAAAATGGCATATATTCTTTTGTTTTGAGCTTGCCCAACAAAGCAGTAGTTGCCATATTGTGTCCAACTCAAACCGGGTTGGCTAAACTTTCCTAATCAATGACACTGATCTGGCGTAGTGTGGAATACCCTGCCTAAGAGATGCATTAAAGGTAATACAAAGTTTTGGGAAACAGAGAAAATTGGGTGAATAGTGAATCTTTACAATTTTGATATATTTGGATGCCCTTGTGGATGTATTATAAGCATTAAAAAAATTAACCCCTAAAACGAGAAAAATTGAATATAAAAATTTACCGGTGCTCCCGGTAAATTTTGATAAATTTCAAATAGCGCCTACGGCCGTACAATGGTAGCTGCAACCATGAAAATTTCAGAATATGTAGTTGTGATATATAATTTCCAAACGGGAATAGCTAATCGGTCGATTTTAGTCAACATACATTGTTTCATAGCTAAATTGGTATCTTGACCTTGAGAGGGAGCTATACAACATAAAGGGTTTATTATTTATAATTTCATAACTTTAGACTCGATTTCAACCGGGACAACGATCAATGAATATTGTAGGAATGCATATGCTTCCAATACGTTAATTTGAACCAAATTCATGACCCCATACAAAAACTTTGTAAAACCTTTAATATTACTTACCACTAAAACTTGGTTGTATGGTCCTAAAGGGTGGTCCAGGAACCGGTTCCAAACCCCCTGTCCCTCCTCCTAGACCATTGATAGAGGAGCCGTCAGGAGCCCGGTTACTGGGGAGGGGTGGTAGACCGGGGAACCGACGTGGCTTCCTGAATATACTCTTGCTCACTGTAGAAAAAACGAAAGAAAAAAATAGAGATGCAATGATTAAGAAGAGCTGCTTAAGATAAGGTGACTATTTGAAAACAACAATATTCTATTATTTCAACATATGTGTGGCTTCCACCCAGTAAAGAAGATTAATTAATGGATCTGTAATTGAAAAACAAGTCAGAATTTTTTTTGGACCCAGCGGGATTTGAACCTGCCATCTACTGCTTGTTGGGCAGCGACTCTACCACCAGGCCATCGCTGGTCCATATTCTCAGTTTGATACAGAGAAATTGAAGAGAAGGTTGGAGTCTGGTAAAGATAAACAATTTCAACATATTTGTGGCTTACACCCAGTAAAGAAGATTGATTGATGGATCTGTAATTGAAAAACAAGTCAGAATTTTTTTTGGACCCAGCGGGATTTGAACCTGCCATCTACTGCTTGCCGGGCAGCGACTCTACCACCAGGCCATCGCTGGTCCATATTCTCGGTTTGACACAGAGAAATAAAATTGAAGAGAAGGTTGGGGTCTGGCAAAGATAAACAATTTCTGAGCTATTTCTCTCATTCTTTTTTTGTCAGTTCGGAAGAATATCATAGACCCCGTTCTCACTCACTTTGAAAGTGATCTTAGTTAGACCGCTCCAGAGGAACGGGTCTTGAGGAACGGTTTGCGAGCGTTCACACTCCGAGCAGTTTTTTATGGCTCAAACAGCTCCACGAGTCAAAGTGGTCTTGTTGCTATGGCAGCTCAGGTCAGCAGGTCAATTTTTTCGCGCGCGGAATACAAACCATATGTACCGTACTACATGTTTCGCACGGAACGTCACTAGCTCACTTCCGCTCAAAGTACGCTTCCGTTCACATTGCACGTTAGAGCGGTCCAAACCGCTCTTAATAAGACCCGTTCCTCAAGCAAGACCACCTCCGGAGGTGGTCTTCTGGAGCGGTCCAGAAGTCCACTTCCTGGACCACTTTGACCGTTCTCACTCACCTAAGAACTGCTCCTGAGGAACGGGTCTTAGTTAGAGCGCTCCAGAGCGCTCCAACGAAGTGAGTGAGAACGGGGTCATAGTTTCGTCTGTTTGAAGCCGAAAGGACTATAACTCCAACACTTTGACACATAGTTAACACCCTTCTGGCTCTCAAAAACACAAAATTTGTCCCCTGAAAAAAGATTACTCTTCAAATGCCATCATATTCAGAATACCAGGAAATATAGCTGAAAGTTTGGCCAAACCATTTGTGTTTAGTCTCACATGACAATTTGTAATCTTCAGTAATTTCCTTTCATTCTGACCATTCTAAAACTTAACAGCATACATCCCCTCGAAATCCCCTATTACTTCCAGTTTCTTTCATGAAGCTCACATGACCAGAACTCAACTGTATCATTAAAAGACAACAAAGACAGAGATATATAGAGAGAGTAAAAAAGAGAAGAGACTGCAGGCATAGGAAAGAAAGAGAGAGAGAGCTAGAGGAGACAATAGAAAAGAGAGAAAAGGGGGAAGAGTGCTGAAAGGGTGCTGAAAGGGTGCCGACTTCCAAAGGTGTCAAGAAAGTATACCAGATTAGGCTCATCCTTTAGATATTGGCCTATAGATTATACAAACAACTAGAAAGCACCTTTCATTGCAATCCACTGTGCAAAGACTTGGCATGGCTTACAAGTACAAAGGATACAATCGTACCTGAAAATGGTACTCAGAAATCTACTCTATTTGTGATTTCTTACATGTATTTGCATACAAAAGCAAAATTGAAGAAATGTAACAAAATGCTCTTGGGCACTCTCCAAGGGGCATTGAAAGAGCGATCTATGCACGGTACAAACCAAAATGAAGATTGGAAGAAAGAAAATCATGAGAAAATAAACCAATCTGAGCAAAGCAGAAATGACAACATGAGGATTAGATAAAATAAATTCAGGGTTGAAAAAGAAGAAAAAGAGCAGCATAGCTTTGTGCAAAAATAATAACAAAGGCACAGAGAAGCCATGGAATTGTGCAAATAGAGACATCCCTTTTTTCATTAAAAGTTGTGACCTTACAAACAAATTCAACAAAACCTGCTCATTCTCACGACTTTATCGATATTCATTCACTCCACATACCAAAACACTCTACCCGGCCCTGCTTGCCCCGATGAGGGAATAGAAGAGAATAGATAAAAAAAAGAATGATAAATTGATTATTTAAATGAATGAAAAGTTTGTAATCATGTGGCAATTTCCGCGTTCCAAATCCTGGGAGGAAGGATTTAGAGTTGTCCTTGAAGCGGCGATGCCTTTGTTCGGCCGCTGCTCCTCTCATAATGATTATGGCATCCATTTATTAAAAAGGCGGCTATTCAACGAGATCAGCTCTAGCAGCGCATTATTGTGTTTCATTTCTTTTATTGTAACTTGTATCCCAACCAAAAGTGTGATGAGAAACTTTAATTGATTGGAAGATGATTGATGGTGTGAATTGATTAGGCAGCAGCTCAAGGATGTTCTACAAATCCTAGATTTGGTATGCAATTCATCACATCAACAAATGATGGAGTGTTTGGGAAACAAATCAAGGCACTTTTGCCACACTATCAGTACAACACTCCTTTTCTTTTCTTTTTCGTTCTCTCTCTCCCCCACCCCCTCTCTCTTTCTCTCTCAAGAAATGAATAAAACAAAACTAGTGTTATTCAAAACGATGGAGTTTCTACTTCGATGTCCCTGGGAAAAGATATCATTCCAACCAAAGGGTTTTTAAAAAAAATTGATTTTCTGGTTAACAATGGTTCCAGAATTTTAGTTAATTGAGCTGAATCCACAAAGCCGCAAGACAACAATTCCCTCAAAAACCACTACACCACACTAGAAGACAAGACCACTTAGTGTGAAAATTATAATTAGAAAAATACCTGTCTGGAGTGTAAGCACGGCACTATTTTTATGCTCTCTATAAAAAAATTAATATGGAATGAAAAGATTGCCAACTCCATGTATGAGGGGAGTGTTGGGATACTAGAATTCATGAGGCTGTATATAGTCAAAGAAAGGAGTCTATAATGGTGCAGGTCCTTGAGGGCAATTAAACGATGTGTATTATTCATACTGTCTGAGCACTCATCAACACATTCCGATGAATAATGAGAAAGAGACAACTTTTTATAATCCTGAAGAAAAAAAAAGGTAATAAATTTGAAATTATGAAAATGGCTATCTAAAATATTTCACAAGACAAATAATGTAATCAAAGATGAGCACATTGTGTGTCATACTGTCACAAGAGGCGTGTCTGCACTATCTCGAGATTGCCAAATATCCAGCTATTTGAATTATCCCGATCGCAAACTATCCAGCTCATTTGCGTCTTCATTAGACCGAAGTAGCAAATTAGCTGGATAGTTGGTCGGGATAATATCCCAAGATATCTCGGTCTAGTTTGCGGTTTTCCGTGTTTACTCGAGGTCAGTGGTTGCGAGGTCAGCGCTGAGCGGTATAGATCGCATGTGCGAACCGGAAATCGTTGTGCATGATGGGATCGGGATAATTGACTCCGTACTTCGGTCTAATGAAGACGGTTGCAAACTATCCCGCTAGTTCGGAAATAGAAGGATATTTTGCAAAATAGACCGAGATATCTTGGGATATTATCCCGACCAACTATCCAGCTAATTTGCCACTTCGGTCTAATGAAGACGCAAATAGCTGGATAGTTTCGATCGGGATAGTTCAAAATAGCTGGATATTTGGCAATCTCGAGATAGTGCAGACACGCCTATGAAGATTTCTTCCTCATCTCCAGTTCCAACGATAGCAAAAGTTATGCATCACGGGCAGACAAACTATGAAAAGCAAACATTCTTCTAGGGAATGATGAAATGTCTGACGGAATGCTGACAGGTTCATTTTTTTTAGAGAAGAAACACGAACATAGAGACACGAACATTAACTTCAGGATTCACCCAAAAAGTAATTTGTTTCACGTCCCTGCCCTGCAGAACATAGGATGACATTGTTTGCTAAGACATTCAAGTACATGTCAGGTCAGACATCAGACTTTGAAAAGTCTAGCTTAATAAAGGAGAGACATGCACCTCCTCAAATACAAAACATAAATTGACATTTTAAAGGCAGAATCCAACCCCAAATAATCATGTTACAGCGAGAATTACATTTAAATATCTACACTAAAACTCGGCCCTCAAATAATGCGATAAACAAATTTAAAACTAGACTTAGAAGCTCAATATTATCTACCATGTGAAGACCCATTGCTGTTGCTAAACTTGCTATGATACTGCGAAGACAAAAGACTTCAACAAGAAATGTACCAATACATATACAGAAAGGTTCACATATTCTTTATTGAAAAATGAGGCACTTTGTCCATGGCTATCTCAAATCTCTTAATCTCAAAGACAAAAAGTTCTTCACTGAACTCTGTCCTCAGTACCATAACATGCATATTGAAAATGAAATGGAAATAGAAAGTGAAAAACTGCACAGGCCTGAACATCTACATTTACTTCTTGAAACACATCTCTTCTGTGAAATCAACCGGGGGAAAAAAAAGGAAGCAGAGTGCTAGAAAAGTGAATATTTTTGGTCTTTTAACAATATTACAAAGATATTTCTTGTGAACAAACTTGGCGGTTATTACCACCGGGGCCAATGTATACACCTCCACCACACCCGCTCAAGCCTCTAATTGGCAATTAACTTGACACCAGAGAGCCTGCAGAGACAAAGCTCTAAGGATCACAGACAGATGGATGATGAGATGCTACATCATCCATTACCACAGGGGTCATTCTCAAAAGAGGACGTTTATACCAAATTTGGGTAAAGAAATACCGGCATTATACAGACGGAAGGATGATCACAAACTACAACATCCATTTTCTAAAAGGTCATTTACACAAGAAAACATTTAATATTAATGTGTAAAGATACATTGTTATAAAGACGGATGAATTATCAGAATTATCTTAGAGGTCATTCACACAACTGAAGATTTTTACACATAGGTCATTCACACAACAGAGGGTTCATACAAATTTGAGTAAGGATACATTGTTGTATTAGATTTTTGTTCCAATCAATACTCACAGCTTGGTTTTACCTAATGTAATTTATTTTAATAGTGTTCAGAACTCCAGAAAAGAAACATTAATCATTTATTGCGGTAACTATAAAACTATACAGACAGTGTTCATTTATTTACCGGTATACGCAAATAATTGCTAGTCTGAAAGAGTAAGACAAAGATGCTGCTTTTCTCACCTTTGCACAAGGTGAATGAGAGTGAGGAAAGACAGATGGAAATAGATGGATTACTCTACCAAGGGCTTGACAGTTTGTCCACTGTTTATTCAGCTCATGCAAACAGAATATAGACCAGGGAATGCAAGAAGATCATGGTTTAGGGGTCTATTCAGACTCAAGGAAATCAAAGTAAAACTTGTATAAAGAAATATTGTGTAAATAATTATAGTAAATCATAAAGGGCATTCACACTGAATAACAACATCGTATAAAATGTAAGGAAACTTTTTTTGAACAAGACCCTCTTAGTAATACTGTTTTCATATGATGTAACATGATAGACAAAAGGGAACAGTGATTCTTTGAGTTTTTGTCAGAAATGACGCCCAGAAAATCTATTACTTATCATATAGATGTAGGTTTTTGGTATGGCTATACAGTGAATTTGGGTAGTCTGGATGGGGATAGACCAGGGATCATGGCATAACTCAGCTGACATTGTTGACCATTATAGGATCTAAACCACACAAAGCTCATTCACACCTTGGCTTTGTCGCTGTCAGAGGTCCAAAGCCACTTCCACAAGATCATTCAAATTGGTTCGACGACTGCCAGGAAAATGAGGTACAAAATAGAGCAAATGGACGAGATAGTTGCCAAAACACCACATATGGTCGTAAATTACAGAGCAACAATCGTGACAATGGTAATTAAAAACTTTGTGTGATAGGCCTATATGTATTTCTGTATTCCTAGTGTGTTCAAAATATCTCTCTAGAAATATTGCACTATAGTCACTATAGGGGCTAGCCCATGTTCCACTTATAACCCCAGCTTCATAAAATGCCTGGCCACTCAGAAACAATTTCTGGTGACATGACAATATCTCTCAAGATGCTACAAAATAACCAACCCCAGATCTTTTTAAAAAAATGAACAATTTTTGTGTTGTCTTTCCATTTCTCTAAATAGCATCAAATCCAATCCTAGAAGTTTGTCCTATAATCTATCCTCTCCTGACCGACACTCCTAGTTTAAAGTACAAATAGGATGTTACTGTCCATGGTCAACAGAGATGAGTCATTGGATGACAATGGGGTGCATCATTGCCCCCATGAGGCTCAATGTTGACCCTCAAACTCTCACCTACTTGCTAAGTTTGGTGTGTGGTTTCTGTTTCCCTGTAGTAATGATCCGATGATACAGGATGATACAAGATTTCAAAGGGGCTTATTGCAATTAGCAGAAGCACAGGCTTTACTTCAAATAATAAAAACTTGTTTGACGTTTGTTCCTTTCCCCTCGATGCTTTAGAAATTTGACAGCTAAATTATTGGAGCATGCTGAACACAAAGCACTGGCATGAGAAACCAGCCGTTGCAACGGTCTCCATTCCCTTCAAAATGTTTGCCTTTAATTAGATTTTAGAGAATTCCAATAACTGCTAAAATATAGGGCCTATACCAGTCTAGAAGCCTTAGATGTGTCATAATGTGGACATAAATTCACCTTTCTTGTCAGATTATTTCAAAGTCAACATAAGTTGCATATATCAAGGATGCCAGTGAGAATTGATCAGAGGGCCTGACAATCACCTAGAATGAGTTATTTTTTACACAAAAAAGCCTAAATTATGGTCTGAAAATAACTTGCCAGGGCCTGAGTTCAAGCTATTGCCTGAAAACTAGCATCCCTGATATATACTTACATGGTTGTAGGCACACGCTTGTATCAATTGTTTCGTGATAAAATACTAGCGTTATTCTCCTGAGCTGCATGATGAATATGACGGGCTGGGGTTCCCTCATCATGCAGCTATGCTCTAATTGGTCATCACCCAGTACCGCCCAACCAATCACACCAACATAGGCTGGTTTTCTGAATGGATGGATGTAGTCTGCATCATCAGAACTACAAATAATTCAAACTATGTTTTGGGATGCTCTTTAAAACTGAAACGATTAGAGTCATCTATGGATAGATAATTTCTTATCTGCAGCTAATTTTAATATGCCCTTTTAAATAAATGGCTAAGTTTTTTGGATTGTTTTAAGTTAACTTCTCCTCATTGGCCAAAATGATGATCAACTTCTTCATACACCTTTCCCAGTTTTCCCATTGCTAAATATCATTCCTTTTCAGGCCTTCACCACAAAAAACGGTTTACATCAGTTTTATTTACTTTCAACAAAAACCCACAAGATCAAGATCAAGATCAACATTAATTTCAAAGATTCAAACATATACCTTATACCTTTTTTTCCACTAAAGAATTCTAGCAAATTCATAAAAATGAAAATGGGTAGAAGGAGGCGTCTACAACCAACCGCTTGGCAACGGCGTCATGGCATGAAGCAGACAAAACCGTTCAACCGCGACATGACAGATTGTTATAAAAACCTGAGATGAGTCGATAGAAACGCTGAATAATATCATGGGTTTACGCTCCACTAACTGTTCCGAGTATAGATTTTCATCCTAGCAGAAAGTACATTGCCCCTTCGTATTCCCTTGACTAAACACACGTCCCCTTTTCCTCAATTTTCAAGGGGAATTTGGTTCATATTTTATTATTCATTGATTATTTTCCCCCAGCCCTCCATTACAGGGGAAACGTGTCAGTGAGTCACGGTTAGGATTATACAATAATTAATAGATAGCAGTGACTCACATGAGTTTAGTGTGATTACTAATTTGCATATTGGTGCACTTCGAAGTTGTATTAATTTTGAAATGGAAAGACCAAGGTCAAATATATAGCAAGACTCTAATTGTGGGGTACATCAAAAATATTGTCCGTTTTGGAACTAATATGGCAAAAGTGCTCTGGACAGACAATATCAAACATGATCTACAAAATATGTGTCACACCCTCATTACCACCACCACCACTACCACCAACATCATCTTCTTCTTTTTCTACACCTTCATCTTCATCTTCATCATCACCACCATCATCATCACCATCACCCTCACCATCATCACCATCACCCTCACCCTCATCACCCTCACCATCATCACCCTCACCATCATCACCATCACCCTCACCCTCACCCTCACCCTCACCCTCACCCTCACTGTCACCCTCACCCCCACCCTCACCCTCACCCTCACTGTCACCATCATCATCTGATCTGTACAATGAAAAGCATATATTGCTGGCTGGCTGCAAGCCTTCTTTTGGGAAGGCGCGATAAGAGACGGAGCAGGATGTGACAAAATTTGTTTGAACACCCTGAATTTAAAAATCATCGACACACAGAATTTTCCACAAGAAAGATTGTGGAAAACAGGCACATAAAATAAAGTCTTGACACTCATGGATATCATGGAAAACTTGTCCATATTTACCCCCAAAATGAAGCTCAAGAAGTCTGCAACTGTAATAACCAGAAAACATGAGGAACCCTGGAAAACTGTTTGATCTGGGAAAGTAACGCCTCCATGGAAAACAGCCATTGCCTGGACCCCTTTAGCACCAGCTTTATGTACTACAATGTAGGACAGATATTGCATATATGGCTTTCATTTGGGGCTGCAAAGCCTGAATACATGAATGAAAATACTGAATGCCTCACATAGCAGCAGCTCACTCAACCAAAGCTCAGGGTATACACAAACAAAACACCTGAGATCATGCCTAACAATGCAGGCCCTATTCAACTATTAAAAAGCAGACAAAAGTAAAGACTGGGGAGAATTAGTAGGCCTTTACCTAATTACCCTAATAATGAAATCTTGGAAGGTCTAACTGCCTCACATAGCAACAGCTCACTCAACATAGTTATCTATACATACATGTACAATGCACCAGGTAGCATTCAGTGACCACTGGTATAACAATGGACCTTCTAGAAAGGTCCATGGTATAACAGACCTTTTTACTTATTGTATACACTATCAAATCAATGGGACATTTAACCTGGAATTGGAACACAAATAAAATTTATTTAGCGTATGAATGATATTTGAGACTCATTGAATCAAATCTGAAGGATTTGAATGATAATGAATGAATGATAATTGAAACTCATTGTATTGAATCTGAAGGATCAAGCAAATAAATATGATTGAAGGTCATTTTGTGGTTTGCAATTATTGGATCTTAATCCTAAGAATAGGGAATAAAGCAAACATCCATAATCGTGGGAATTATGCGCTTTATTAGTCATCACATTCTAAGAACTACAGAGTAAACAAAACTATTATTTAGCAAACATTGCAATGCCAATGCTGTTGATAAATAACACTGACCTTCATAATCATTCCAAAAATTGCTTTATATTCAAATAAATCATAACCGTGGGAAAAAATAATAGGTATGACAGGAAGAGAAGTATTCTGTAAACAATTATTACTCACAGTCCATTTAATAGATTTCTCAGACCATTAACTTTTGCTAAGTTTGTCGAAAGGAAGTTTACAAAAGATATATTATCACTGATAACTGACACTAAAAACCGAAGTAAACAGAAATGAACAAATGAAAACAAAATTGCATTTCTCCTTCGTGTTTTACTAAAGTTGAAACTCTAAACCATTTTTCAAATTGTACTACCTCAAAATGCCCTTAGACATTTTTTTCCTAGGAATTTGGGGGCTATCATTCATCCTAATGACAACAAATATGACCTTTTGTATACAGTTTATATTTCTTTGCTTGTTGGAGAATTTGTTTGTTGGAAAAATCAAATCTGTTGGCAAAACTGTTTCAACACCCACCCCCCCCCCCTTCAGTTTTAAACAGTATAGTAATGTCAGTGAATGTAACCTTTCCTATTTAATCTTCAATGAATCTTTAAATTCAATATAAATATTCACTTTCTTGATGTCAAAAGAAATGTGATACGAGCCCCTGTTACTCTCCTTCCGGTGGATAAAAAATATCTAAACAGAAAAATTGCTACCAATAAAATGATTTACGGTCAATAACCTACCAATTTCTATAACTTTCTGCATCATGTCGTAGTCTATCATCTCAGACCCATTCTCCAGGATCATTGGTACAACAATGCACAGGGATATCCCTATAACTAAGCTTATAGTTTTGGTAGTATTACTTGGAATATGTTCATCCTCTACAAACCTTCTTTAGTACTTACATATTGATATTACTTCTTACTTCTAAAGAGAAATGTAACTAATGTCTATGCCAAATCTTCATCATCTCCTTGAATTTTGAAAGGGCATGTCTGGGGTTGGTAAAGATAAAGGAGCCAAATTATTAATATCATTAATTACAATATAAAGCATTTATGAATATACAGATGGGACTCAACTCCCTAAAAGTTCGCAAATTGCTTATCTGTAAATTAGTCAGGAAAACAATTTTGTAAACTAGTAATCAAAGATTTATAAGGGTCATACTAACTATAATGATAGGGCCCATGATGTTTGGGTTCCTGAAAGAGAATATCATCCTCTATATATGCATGTGGTTATATGCATATGCTTTTGGTTGAATTAAATTGAAAGTTTATAAGCTGATATATAGTTGGAAAATGATTATCAATTTGACCAACTAGATGCACCCCCCCCCCCCAACCCCCTTAAATAAAGGAGGGGAAATTCATGATGGTCTTCATCAACACTGCCTGTGATTATGGGAGAATTGAATTTTAAGCTGTGGCAACACATAGGTTTAAACATTCTTCTGCAATAATTGTATTTTTCACATTCAGGTTCCATGATCATTCTCAAAACTCCCCGAAGCAAATCAAACTCCAGAGTGTTATGAAGCAAAGTCCATTACATGAGGGTCTACATCACAGCTGTCATGACCAATCATCTATTACATTACTCTCCTCTGTTACTATGGTAACACACAATTATCCAATCAGGATAAAGTGAAATAGTTTGCAGAACAGGTGCATGTTAAGGCTTCAATGATAACCTAGATTTTCACTCAAATAACATTCCACTATGAATGCAAATAAAACACAGTTTCCACTGTTCCATATGTTGTTATTCCAATCTGAGTGATGAAAGGAAATTAGGAATGGTGTGATTTACAACTAAGCTACAATGTAAACAGGAGGCATATAATTTGTATTTTTTTGCGCACATGTTTTGTTGAAAATACATTTGTATACCAAAATCAAAATGAAACCTCTCACGCTACTATACGATGCACGATACATTTAGAACTTCATTCAGGCTAGAATAAACGCCCAGTTTGAATTTGAAGTGGACGAGCAATATATAAAAAAGTTTCTGCCCTTACTCCAAATTGATGGAGAAACCCCTGAAGAAATTATCAAATAAAGCTAGAAAATCCATTTTTATGATACAACTTCTCTTCGTGAGCTGTGGAAACAACTGCAAATGATCATGTGTGCCTGTATTATCAAGCTATAGCTGGAAACCCCTTGGTATTAGTATTATCTTTTCATTCTTAAATGAGTATGCTATTTCTTAAATGATCAGAGAACTAATATCTCAGGTCTGGGACTAGTACAGAGGTAGCGCAAGTATGAAAGAGGTCCTTAGTCTCCAAATATGTAGTTGACTGAAACAATTATACTGGATCAAAGCAACCACCATCATCACCATCATCATCATCATTGCTAGGTCAAGGTTTCCATGGTAATATTGCACTCTCTCATCACACTTGCTTGATGGAAATGGAGCGCAATTATCGTTTCTTTCTGGACCAAGTCCTTTTCTTGGACATGTTTCAGGTCCGGACAGGTACAGACTATCTGCAGATGTGGCTGCAAGTATGAAAGTGGTCGCAATCTAAGTCGTAAATGATGTAGTTGAGTTAATAATCTTCCCAGCAGGTAATTTCTTTTACCAGAATAAAGCACTCATCAAGATCATTCTCATCATCATCATCATCATTAACATCATCATCATCATCATTAACATAATAAACATCACCATCATCAACATCATAATCACCCTCATCATTATCATCATCATAATCATCATCATCATAATCACCCTCATCATCATTATCACTAGATAATGGTTTCCATGGTAATATTCCAATCTATCATCACACTCACTGAATTGAAACAGAGCACAACAATCTTTTCTTAAAACTAGACTGAATCCTTTTCTTACAGGTGGGAACAAGCGAAGACGAACCACAGACAGATGTGGCCCCAAGTAGGAAAGTGGTCCTAAGCCTTTAATGATGTAGTTGACTTAATAATCTCCCCAGCAGGTAAAACAATTTAGCAGATCAGAACAATCATCATCATCATTACTGGGTCAAGGTTGCCATGGTAATATTGTCATCTATCATCACGCTCATTGGAAGAAGGAGGAGAAGGGCAAGGTTTGGTACAGGTACATGTATATCCATGGGATTAGGACCGCTCTTAGCTGAAAATTAACCATGTGATGACAGCTAGCAATATGGAAAACATATGAAGATAATCTTGCTAGATTGGTAAGTTGGATCAAGGAGGTACTTGGATACAGTGAACTTTTCCAAGTCAGGTGATCTGATATTTGCTCCAGTGACAATTGCTTTAGGCCTAATTTCATCAGAAAAATAGGATTAGAGTTAGTAATTTTAATTTGGTTTTAGGGTCAGGGTCAGGTTTATTGTTTTGTCCAGGGTTGAAAGCAGGATTAGAAATTCGGTTAGTCTGAGTGTTTATTGAACACCCCATGACAAGTGGCTAGGAGAAAGAGAATTTCATTTTTGAAAATTGCAAGTCTTCCATGTCCGAACTGTAAAAGGTCATACTTAATTTAAACTCCCTAAAATTTGTTTTACCTTACCACATTTTAAAAAATTTTGCTTAGAAGAATCATTGCATTATGAATATTCATTATCCTAAATTGTTAATTAAACTTGGTCAAACCAGACTCTGAAAACGTGAAATGATAAATTTGCTTGCATAATATCACTAAGCGAGTGTTTAAACTGCCATCCATGTGGTATCTTGGTATGAGAAAGGGCACATGCTTAGCCACTTTGTAAATATTTTAACCTAATTATTGCATTAAGTCATCACTCTGGTGACATTTTCTAATTGCATCACTTCAGTATGGCTGCTTCCTCAGCATGGCACATTAAATTTTGGTAAGAGTATTCCGAAAAATTCTTAAAACGTTAGTCAATTGCAGTTTAAGGGAGAGGGCACCAACCAGCCCATGCCCCTCCT